TCCCTCATAGCCAACCTCTTTTAATTCCTTCAATGTGAACTATTTTTTAATTTCTTCCCAAATTCTAATTAATTGGCACCTCAAAGGTAGTGGGTCTTGAGCACATTATTTCTTCACATCAATTTTGGACCTCAATTTGAATTGAACTCGAGCTGTATGGGGCACTCCCTATTGACCTACTCAAATCTCGTTCCGTGCCACGTCGTCCATAAAAAAAACTCCAATATCCTAAAAATAAACCACAAATATATCATAGCACCTAAATTCAATAAATAAATAAATAAGCCGAAAAGTATAAAAGTGTGACAAAATTAAGTATATAAAAATACGCTAATAAATATATAAAACTCACACTTTTTTCGGCCAATCACGAGCCGAACAGGATTTGAAGTAGTCGGATGGCATATATATCATAATGTAGTCGACTCTAGTAGACGTCACAATTTCCGGGAAGACGGACGTCAGTCGAAGCCGTCAAGAGTCCCGATACACAATCTTCATCAGCGCCCTCCGACACGCCCAACACTTTCAGAGCATTCCCCACCGACATCTCGTACGACACAGAACAGAGTCGTTGGCGCGCGAGCCGGCTCGGGGTGGCCCAGCGGGTAGGCGGTGGGTGAACAGTAAACTCCACGGTCGCTGGCGGCCCGAATTGAGCGCCTTGGCGATCGATTCCGACAGGCTACTGCGCTGCTGGGCCAGAAGGAGAGGGCCAGGGGCGAAACCATGTGGTGGGTCGGAGAGGCGCCAGCCCCTCCCAAAAAAAAAAAAAAAAAATTAAACTAGGGGTGGAGGATTTTGCTGGAATTGGAAGATTTTCTTTTGAGCGCGCATGTTGGGCCCTCCCCAGTTTCATGCGGTACATACATGGCCGGAAGGGCGCCAATGGTTTTTGTCGTGAATTTTTTTTTAACGGCAAATTGGGCCCTCCCCGACGGGATCCTGGTTTCGGGACAAGGAGAACTATAACATTAGTAGAATTTAATACTTTTTTCATTTTTATTATATTTTGAGTTGGTTAATTAGCCGACTTGCGGTGTACCGACAGGACTCAAAAACCGAGTCGATCATTACCGAAAAATACTTTTATGAAAGTACGGGAAGCAGAGAGTGCGTTGGTGGCATCGATTTATGATTTTGAGGTCCCGACCAATTATTTTGGGTAGCCCGAAGTTGAGAGAAAAATGACAGTGGCGGTGATTTTATTGTCATTTTCATGTGTAGACTTCGGGTAATCGTCGACCCTCGTTAGGCGTGTTGAAAATTAGCGGGAGTGCTTTCTTGAAAGCATGAGAACAGTAGAAGCCGTTCGTAAAATTTATTTCACGTTTCGAAGTTTCGAGCATTTATTTTAAGAAGCTCGAAGTCGAGTGCGCATAATAGAAGAATAAAAAGCCGTTTCGCGGGGTTCCGCAATGTTGCGTGTGACCTCGGTTTTACGAGAATCAAGTTGGAGTGTGTAGACAATTCAAGCACGATTCCATACGGACAAATTTCGCATTTTTCGGAGTTCCGAGCATTTATTATGAGAGTTTGAATTTCTGCGTTAAATAGTATCAAAAGGAGCAAATTTGTCGAGGACGAGTTCGATCGTTCGAGGCTTCGTTTTCTCAATTTTTTCAACTTTTCGTCTATTCGAAAGGAGGTATAATTCTTGATCATTATTATAATTGAATCCGGAATTTTTATTAGTATAAATTCGAGTATTTTTCGAGTTAAAACAATTCAGTTTAAGTATACCAGTTTAATTCCGGACTTAATTTGATTTTTAGAAAAATCTCTAGAGTATTCATTTATATCATGCGAAATTTTTTTAAAGCGTTTACAAAAGCCCTTTGAGCGCCCTTTCAATGCCGGAGTGGGAATGGTGCGCCGCGGAATGGCCGGAGTGAGGGTGGTGCGCCGCGGCAAATTGAGCCCTCCCCAAAATGACCGGCTAGTTTCGCCACTGGAGAGAGTTGTGGCAGTGTGGCCATATGAGAATAAGCGGTGTGTGATGGAATGGAAGAATATAAACTTTAAAGATCGAGAGAAGGCAAAAGAAGATTCTTCTCGTGGGGTGTTTTCTTATTGTGAAGTAGTTTAGAGCATCTCCAATGGCCTTTGGATTGTCCTATCTTGTTGCCACATGACACAAAAAATTTTATGTGGCCTAAAAAAATTCTAGAAGTCTTTCTAGATGTAGAAGTACTTCTATACAACTTCTACTATACATTATATTACATATTCAATTTTTTTAATTTTTTTCAACCAATTATAAATTTACACATGTCATAATAAACCATCTTAAACATAATCCATTAGAAACACAATTTTTTAATCTCCTTTCTCCATGCTGTGCAACTTAAAATGGACGACTTACCATTGGAGATGCTCTTACAAGGGAAGGTGATGACGTGGCGTTCCTTGGCAGCAACCTATTACTTCTGTTTGAAAGTCTTAAAGTCATCCGTCGTAATTTTTTCATAAAAATAAATTTGACTTTTTTTTTTATATATATTTCTTAAAATATCATTTAAAAAAAATAAAATTTAAACGATGTCAATTAATTCTCAAATATGACTATTTAGTATTTAACCATTAACCTAATTACCAAACTAAAAAAAACCTAATCATCAAACTTCTTTTTTATTTTTTTTTAAAATAATTACCAAACTTCACTCGGGCTCGTGACTGTTTGCCATTCCTAAACCTAATTTTGTTTTGCAGAACATTCCTAAACCTATTTGGATCATTATTCCTAAATTATTCAAATTAGATTCCAGAGTCTATATATGTGCCCCAGTCTACTTGCTAAGGATCGATAACAAAGCTTTCTCATAATAATGATAATGGTACTCCCCTCGTTTAGCTCCTTCTGGCGTCGTTTGATCCACCGTTTTTTCCTTGTCCAACCAGATTCCCCACAACATTCTCCTTCTCCGTTCGACGACCTCCCGGACGACGCCATTCGCCGGATATTCAGCAACCTATGCACCGGCGACCGGGTTCGCCTGAGGCTTGTCTGCAGGTCGTGGAGGGACACTCTCACCCGGTCCGAGTTCCGTACCCTTCCCGAGCCCCCGTGGCTCATCCGGCCCGAGCCCGAGCCCATCTCCACCTACTTCGAACTCATGTGCCCGTACGAGGACAGAGTGTACAGCTGTGATCTGCCCTGCCACCTCCTCTCCGGTGACCGCTTGTGGTCCTGCCGCGGCTCTGGCGCTGGGTGGCTCCTCCTTGCCTGCTGGGACCCAGCCGAGATGGTCCTGTGGGACCCGCTTTCCGGCACCACCCTGGCCCTCCCCTCCCCTTCCACCCTCCCCTTCTTCGACGAGCTGGACCACGATGTGTGCGTGATCCGCCTCGCTCAGGTGGCGCCCGTGGGCCCCGCCGCCACCTTGGCGGTAGCCGTGGTTTTCACTTTGACCGGCCTTCGTGACAAGTTGGCGATGTGCTTGCCGGACTGCCAGTGCTGGACCGTGCTCCCAGGCCCCACCGACGAGCACTACGCAGACATACTCTTGCAAAACGGGAAGCTCCAGGCCGTGTGCCCACCACCGCGCGCTCCGGGAACTGGGCCCTCGGTGGCGAAAAGAACCGATTTTGTGGCGCGGCTAAGCAGTGGCTGCCACGTGGAGGTTGTGACGTGGGAGCTCAAGTACGAGGCTGTCCTCCACCAGGCCGCCTTTGATTACGATGAATATGAAACGATAGGGTGTAAGGTATACGAGAGGTTCCACGTGGCAGAGCATTTGGTTCCGGGCCGTGATGACGAAGACGAGTTGCTGCTCGTTAGCGCGACTCTCGACATGTTCTCGCACAATTTTGGTTCGGGGGGCGGGGGACTGTTCGGGCCGCAGGCCTACATGTGCCCACAGACGAGAGGATTTGAGGTTCGTCGGCTGAGTTTGAAGGACGATAGTTTGGAAAAGGTGGATCGTACGGGAGATGTTTGTATATTCTTGGGAGCTACTGGCTCAACTTCAATGGAAAAGATTGAAGTGCCTAACTACATTCACTATGCGACAACGGATGGTAAGGGGAAAATCTGGGATGAAGTTGAAGAGGAAGAAGAAGAAGAAGAAAATGGTGAATCTGATGTGGACAAATTATTCGTCCTCCATGAACATGGCACCTTCAACATGGAAGATGGCACGATCGAGCGACATTATTTGGACATTTCAAGCTTACAAGCACAAGGGTCGTGTATCGGTTGGTTCAAGCCTGTATTGCGAACCTGAACAATTAGTACATACAGTGATTACCATGTTATAATGGAGTGCCTAGATTACGATTCATCAACGGCTACAAATATTGTGATTAGTGATTTATAGCTCTCTCTTTTCTTGTTTTGAAAATTTTAATTATCTATCTCAAATCTGTATTTTTATAGCAAATGCATGTCTATTAAGTTGATGTGCTACACCTTTGCTAAGTGTTGAACTTGAATTGCATGTAATGGTTGCATATATTTCCTAAATCTGTCGCCCTCAAATCCAAATCCCGTTCAGCCCAAATGCACCCGTAAGTCGTTGGAGGACAAATTATATTATCAACCGAAAATCGAACACAAAAACCAGAAGACGATAAACTAATTGCTGAGTCTGTCACAGTACTCAGAGCGAAGTAAGAAGATTTATATAAAGAAATGAGTCAGGGCAAGCATTACTCAGCCATGAGAGGAAGTGGCCTATACACTATAACAAATCACCCTAAACCAAGCTTTAGTGATCTCACTTTCAGATCCCTCACCTCTTGTTATTCCTGTTATAAACCGGCACCTGAATGAACCCAAACTTCTTCTTCTTCTTCATCTGGAAAAAATACTGCCTTTTATCGATATTCTCATCTTCCTTGGGCTCGCACGATGATGCAGGATACCCCGACTCTGTTCCCGCAGCATCTGACTCAACGACACATGTTCCCTGTCCGGATAATAATCCTCCGCGTGCCTCCCCACCATAGCATCATCCTGAGGGCCCATCCTCCGCAACCACCCACCAGAGCATCCGGTGCGCTAGCTCCTGAGGGCTTCGACCGAGTTACAAAACTCGAACTTCATTAATTTAGTTGTCGTTATTAATTTCAGTATGCTCCAACACGACGTTTTCCGCGGTCTCCTCGAACTTCTCGGGTGTCGGGCCCCCTGGCGTTTTTTGCCCTTTTTTTGGCGGAAAAACAACATCGAAACCAAGGCCTGCCTGTGCCTACGTCTAACCGGCTGAGTTTTTGTTATTTAGTTCGAAAACGCGCTTTTCTCGGCGAGGGCGATGGCCTCGACCGCCTCCTCCATTTTCTTGGCGGCGTGGAGCCTCATCTCTCCATCACTTTTACGACCTCTTATCTAGAAGCTTCCGTCATCCTCTTAGTAACAGTATTATTCCCCTTTTGCCTGGCGGCTATAAAACTGAACACTACCTTCCGCGCATTTCTTTAAAACAGATTTTCTCTCCAATATTTTTCCATTCTCTCTCGTTAAACAGATTTTCTCTCCAAGATTTTCAGTTACGCTTATACTCTCATCAAACCAACCTCTCCACTTCTTCTTCCCTGAGCTCACTTTCAAGATGGCAAAGAAAAAGCGTTGTCATTGGATGAACGGCACTTGCGGCGCGAAGAAGATGACGAGTTCGTTCAAGAAGCAAAAATCCAAGGGCAAGAAGAAAATTCGTTCTGTAATCGCAATTTTTTTTTTTTTT